GAGAGAGAGAGAGAGAGAGAGAGAGAGAGAGAGAGAGAGAGAGAGAGAGAGAGAGAGAGAGAGGTGAAGAGAGTGATCGACCGGGAGACCAACAGACTACAGTCAAACAGGCAAAGACACAGGAGGGAGAGACACATAGACAGAGTACTCTGATCAGGGCAGCTTCGTGTTATAGGGTCTTGTACATTTTCTTGTTCTCAAAAGTACGGCTTAGTTGTCACTCAGGGTGCCTGTCAGGTAGGGCACCTTGTTGGGCAGGCATGCTGTTGTAGGTGCATTCCAAATGCCCATTAAATGGTTGCTTTGTGGGCAAGAGCACATTGATGCAATTCTGTGTGACACAGAATTCTGCATGATGCGAAACACCTCCAACAAAGGTCATGGCATACTTGATTGCAACAAACAAAGATATTAAGGATGCTCTTACTGGCTGTGTGTGCACACGAGGCCTGTTGTTTGGGGTGCACACTTGCTCGGTGTCATTCCAAATACATGTTGCAGTAAGGGCAGTCTAATACTCTCTCAGAGGATACACAACATGCCCCGAGGCTGTCTTCATACTTTTAGGGCGCAGAAGCCACCATGCAGGTACTGTACACTGGGCATTGCAACCAGAAAACCCCATTATGGGACAAACACAGAAAGTGGACTTGATCACCTATAGCATTTGAGGAGCAGACAATCCAAGGTATTCAAAGTAAGATACAAGCATGCAGCGTTGCAGCGAATGCATCCCTATCAAAAAAGGCTGATTTTAATAACTTATGCACACCTTCAGAAAGTAGTACCTAACAGCATCTGCGCCGTACTTTCCAACCAGATACAATGGCTCAATTGTGTTCCCAAGAGACTTTCCCATCTTTAAACCATCCTGCCCTTCACCAGAACAGCAAAAACAGAACAAAGAGTTCACACCATGGCTTCAGTAACTGCAAACAAACAATTGATTTGTCAAAGCAACGATACTATGAGCTTTACCATGTGGTGTGACTCGTTAGTGTGACTAGCATCTAAGTGAAATCTGTCTTTTCAACTCTTTTGTATGCATGCCCCTTTGGTTGGGGTTTTGCTGATATACAAACAAAGACACCACAACAGGATACAAAAACCAGCAACAAACAAAGACACCACAACAGGATACAAAAACCAGCAACAAACAAAGACATCACAACAGGATATCTCTTATTTGTCTATTGCACAACAAAGAAGTCAGGACCCGTCACAAAAAGCTCCAAACGATGGAACCCAGAGTTTGAGGCTGCAGGCCCTGATTCCAACGCTTCCTGTCAAATCCCTACTGCACATGATGTCTCTGAACCAAATTGCCTCAACGCCATGGCCTGATAGGCCCAGTGGAGGTCTGATTTGGCACAAAGTGCCGGCAACAAACAATTACGTCGCAGAAAACTCAGAGAGAGAGAGAGTTGATGGAGGATGTATATAGGCATTGGAAGGTTGGAGGAATACGACAACTAAAATCTCTGAAACTAGTCAAAAAGGGATTTGATATCTATGTTCCGATCCAGACGGAGCCACCTGGGCAAGGTCAACGTTGTCGAGCGCATTGGCTCCCACCTAGGAGGCAGCCCTCCCAGTTGAGCCACGCATGTGGGTGAGTATGTGGAGTGCGCCTAAACAGTTCCCCACTCCAACAGGGTGCACAAGAGGTTAACGGGGCATCTGGTTTTCAGGCCTGAAATTAACCTCTTGTGGAGAGCAGGTTAACCGAGCACCCATTTTTCAGGCCCATTTATAAGAAAACCAGAGAGTCATTTTAACAACACTTCACACCAATCTATAGAGTGCACTTCTTACGACCCCATCACAGAAAAAAACCCTAAAAAAAGCAATTAAAAACATATAAAACAGCAAGCCAAAGGTGCATTTTTCAAAAAAGCAATTAAAAACATATAAAACAGCAAGCCAAAGGTGCATTTTCATGAAAATGCACCTTTGGCTTGCTGTTTTATATGTTTTTAATTGCTTTTTTGAAAAATGCACCTTTGGCTTGCTGTTTTATATGTTTTTAATTGCTTTTTTTAGGGTTTTTTTCTGTGATGGGGTCGTAAGAAGTGCACTCTATAGATTGGTGTGAAGTGTTGTTAAAATGACTGTCTGGTTTTCTTATAAATGGGCCTGAAAAATGGGTGCTCGGTTAACCTGCTCTCACAGGGTGCACCACCTTACATTCCGGCTAGCCCTATGACAGGATAGAGCCGACAGGGCAAGCTTCCCATTCCCAACGGGCTGTCACCACTGAGCTACCAATGCACGTGCGACATTTTTAATCCGGTAGAGGTACATTGGCCGAGGGCGTTCACTTGTTCATCGGTGTAGTATACGCTGTGGACAACGTCCTCCCCAGCCTGCTCGTAGCCAAGGTCACGGAACACTTATCTCCTGCTTGTAGAGGCGAACAGCTGACTAGGACGCCTAACTGCTTTTGCTCCTATCACCTTTCTCCACCTCATAGTGCCGCTAGGATGTGCACTCCGCCTTTTAAACATTCATCTTCTCAAGTTCTGTGTGACACAGGGTACCAAATGAGCTTGGCATAATCAGCCCCTTACACTTCGACACCACCTTCCGTGGGTAATGAACGACAGGATCGACCAGGCCTGCTGAGATTTTTCATACCAACACAGCACTCCCCCTACTCTTCTCCGCCGTCGAGGGATGATGCCTAGTGGCAGAGTGGTTGTAACGTTTGAGAAGAGATCGCCTTCGGTGCAAGCCGACCTCCATCCATAACAGCGGAATGGTCGTGCCGAAGCAGCACATCCCCCCAAACCCCTAATAAGTGCTCGATGATGTGCGCAACATTCTCACTCGTTATCACTCCCACTGCACCCACCTCGAGAAGTCATTCACTCTGATACGGAAAGCATAGAATAACCCTGTCATCAGACTGGGCACACTTAACCGTTGACGTACATCCCTTGGTCCTTCTTTGGTGCCTCTATTAGTTAGGTCTTAAAAAGATCAACGGCAAGACAGACAATACCTCCTCAGTATCGTCCCTGTGCCACACGACCATAACCACAACACAGGGACATGTTGAAGATACACCTCCTCACACACACAGCATACACTCTCAGTGATGAAGTCTGGCAAGCTCCATGCCACTGATGATGCCAAACTCACATAATCAAGCATACCTGCATGCACATGCATGCAAACAAGAGTCACTCCACACTTCCTTGCATGCATGAGGAACGAAGGAGATGGGTCTACTACCTGTCCAAAGACAGAAGGACTTGTACAAGAATCCAGTCGAAGCAATGCTCAATTCGCAATCACCAATCCGCACAGCCATATCCCAATACAGCAATTTGTAGGCCACTTCGTTGAACTACTCGTCACATCGCCCATCGCTTGAGCGTGCATAACTTCACACACTTCATCCCCACACACTCTGTCCAACTGGTTAAACTGACACAGTCTTCTCCACCACTTCACACAGCCAATATACAAAGTGTGATAGTAACACCAGCAGAGCCTCCCCTAACAATATTGGCAGTCTAGTCAGATTGAGCTCACTACCGCCGCAATGCCAAAGCAGACCCTTGACCGGCCAGAACGCCAGCACGAGGCCCCAGTGGTTCAAAGGAACACCTCACCGCCTCGGCCGAGTTAGCCCCAACTATATGCCTAAGCTGGAGTACAGTCTGGCTTAGGGCATCCTTTCCCCACCACTAACTGGTATCAGTTGGATCCTGCCGTGATGCGGAAGCGGAACCTGGGCCAGCCCGCAGACCTGCACGAGGTCTCAACAGTCCAAGCGGACCACCTCACGGCTACCACCAGCATCCTTCTGTGAGTGCACGAGTACTTCGCTCTCCCACTCAAGGCACGCACCGTGTTAACACTTGCACGCGTACACCTGGTTTGCCCCTTCGTCCAGCCTCGTCGGTGCCTCATTAAGAATGCGCGTGGGCCATATGTTGGCTAGGAAGCCACAGCTGTGCAACACTAGGCCCTAACAGCCACTTGGACCACCCCGCAACATAACCAGTCTCCGTAGACTCTGCCTGCCAGTAGTCTCAGCTTGCTTGCGGGCCCGTCGTCTCCACCTGCCTGCTTGCCGTGTGCATGCAATGCTCACACTGCTCACTCATAGTAAGAATAGTGGCGGCGGCTTGTTTTTATACCTGCAAATGGCTGGGTGGAGTTCCTTTGTCAAGCCAGCAGCCTTGGCAACTGCCCTCGCCTGCCTGCTGGATCAGTATCCCTCGGCGGAGCCTCACTATGTGCACTGGCCAACTTTTCCAGACCCACGCGGCTGTGAGCCCTGCAGATTTTCCCATCCGCCTTATCAAGTGATCGTGCAGTGCAGCTCTTTCTGCAGCGCAAAAGTCTCTAGGACCTTTGAGTAAACCGGGCTAATCTGGCAGTTAATTTGGCCAGATTCGGCCGGTACTACTGGCCGAAGATTCCATGCCCGAGGGCCTACTGCTGCCGTGAGCGGCTTTCATTGTTCCAAGTAGTATTCCAGGCCTTGCTGGGCCTCTCTCTCCTAGGAGCCCCATAGTACTGGCCGAATTTGGATCGGACGCTGAGTCCGGTTTGCAGTGAATTTTGGTTCGGTCTCTCCGGGCAGACTGTGAGGACCCCGGCCTCATTATTTTCATTCGGAATATCAGCCTTGGGCACTGGGCCTTGAAAAAAAAAAAAAAAAGATTCGTCTGGTACTACCAGATTCCCTTCCTCCCTTTGAATTCTCGGGCCTAGTTCCTTTGTCAAGCCAGCAGCCTTGGCAATTTCCTCTCGTCTAGCTGCTGGATCAGTATGCCTCTGTGGTATGGCACAAGCCTCACTATGTGCCAGTATTAGCTGGACGCAATGTAGTGCGGCTTCTAGAGTCTCGCAACACTCCCATGCTACGCCTGCACCTGACACTTGAATTCAGCCAGTGCAGGCCATCTTTTCCAGACCCACGTGGCTGTGAGCCGCACAGATTTCCCGGTCCACCTGATCAACCGATCGGGCAGTGTAGCTCTTCCTGCAGCCCGGAAGTCTCTAGGCCCTCTGAGCAAAACGGGCTAGTCTGGCAGTTAATTTGGCCAGATTCAGCCCGTACTACCGGCCAAAGATTCCACGCCCTAGGGTCTACTGCTGCTGTAGCACAGAATTTCCACGGGAGCGGCTTTTCTTGTTCCAAGTAGTATTCTAAGCCCTATTGGGCCTCTCTCTATCCTAGGAGCCCGGTAGTACTAGCCGAATTTGGACCGATTTCTATCCAGCTTCTTCTTGTACTACCGGATTCCCTTCCTCCCTTTGAATTCTTGAGCCTCCTAGGCCCTTCCCGTGGCGTCTTTGGCCATGCAATTTCATGCTTGCACGATCCAGAATGTGCCATGCTTTTGAGGCCATCTAGGCCCCTTCTGCCTTCTAACTGTCACTCGGTTGTACTGGGTGAGCTTGGCCCAAATCTTAGCCAGTTTCAGGCAGTACTTCGACGTTTGGATGATATTGGGGGCATCAGCCATGGCATGACTGTATAATGCCCCTCTGAGGTCCTTGTAGACCCTTCAAGCCTCTCCCCACATTTCTTAGGGCTGCGTGACGCAACCTTGGCTCTGACCAGCCTGCCAACCTCTGGCTGGCCAGTCAAGCTGGTGGGGGTTTCGTGTGGCCATTGGAACACTAAACACACGACCTCCATGGTGATACTACACCCAATGTTGGCTCTGGCCAGCCTGCCAATCTCTGGCTGGTCAGTCAAGCTCTGTGCAGGGGCTATGCTAATCTTTGTGATTCTACACCGAAACTTGGCTCTGGCCAGTCTTGCGTGTCAACCTTACGCTGGGGCCATGCTAATCTTCGTGATTTTATACCCAACCTTGGCTCTGGCCAACCTGCCAACCTCTG